CTAACTTGAGCAGGTGTTTTTCAGGGTTTCCCACCAGAGTTGAACTTCAACATTTTAAGGCATGTTATTACACCTTTACAAACATATTGGTGGAGAAGTTGTTTGGTCACGATTTCGTTGCCAGATGTTGATATTTTTCCCTTACTAATGATATTCTTTTTAAATTAATTCCCATCGACCCACTTTCAGCAGGTTTCTTGGCACGGCGAACTTTTAAGTTATGTTTAGTCGACAATATCTCAGGAACCTGAGATGTTCACAGTTTTTTCTCATCATGTCATTGATTCAGAATCTGCAATATTATAGATTAAAGTCGATTACATAATGTGTGATTGTCGGTAAACTGAAATATGAAAAAAATTAGTTGAAGCTGTCTTGAATAGTCCCATCTTTCAGCTCACATTGACAAAAACATAAATAAAATGTGACAATGCAGAAGTTAACTCGTGATATTTTCTGAATTATATGTAGCTGCAGGTCACAATTATAGGAAACTAAATAAATAGAATACTTTTTAATATAAAATAGTGGGTCACAACAATGGGGGAAAAAAGCATTTGTTGAACTTTTATAACTGGTTAAGCAGGTATGAAAGTTGTACCACAAGAACAAAAATATTGTTAGATAAGAAATGATGTTGTTAGTTATACACCAGAACGCTGCTTTACTTGGATTAGACTAAAGTCTACCAATAGTTCCTGATATATTGTCATTTAAACAGCCTCATATGGGAAAGTGTTTGATATATTAGTCTAAGATTTCACAAATATCGTTGTCCCTTTAACTTTAATAAAAACTAATGCAGGTGCGCCTTATCATGCTGTGATACACACATTAAATACGTGTCTGTGAGGTGATACTGACGGTGTGATGATGTGTGTTCCTCGTACGCAGCAAATGTCTGCCAGTAATGTAAGTTGTAAACAAACAGGATTTACTGGACAGACTAAGCCATTAAAAAGTTGTTTTATTGTTGTTTTGACCCTATAAAAAGGCAGATACAACAATCTGATGACGACAACATGACACTGATTTAAAAACGAGGCTTTGATATGAAATCAAAACGCTGGCTAACACAAGCAGAAGGAAAAAAGACCATAGGAGAGAATCAAGCCCTCACCTTGATGGACTCCAGCAGTCCTCCGTGGGCGTGTCCGTTCTCCGCCCGGCCCTCCTCCTCCAGACCCGACGTCAATCCCAGCATGCACTGGGAGCGTCTCTGCAGCTCGTCGTGGAGGCCGTCCAGCAGGGCGGCCCGGGTTCGCTCCTAACACACCAACACATGATGAATGTGAATGATTTTAAACAATCTGTGGTGTCTATCAGTCCAGCAGTGATGATTCACAACACATTTGTGACACTGTAATACACTTCTGATGTCTATGTGAGCCCTGTTTAAATAGTTTTATGTATCTGAAATCTGGTAAATTGTGCTGCTGTCCCCTTCTGTCAGAACGCTCCTTTAAAAGAGATTATTAATCTAAATGACCCTTTTCCTGGTTATACAAAAATATCCTGAACAGATTGTTTTTCACAGTTGGAAACACTTGTTTGACTTCATCTGGTTGAAGCTGGAGTTTAAATATGATACCAAAACCGATTTAATAAACAAACCAGTCCCTCTTTTTTCTGCCACAGTGCAGTGACACACGTGCTGTTAACATTTTCATACAGCTTTGACTCCTCTATTGTAAATACTGAAGCTGCAGAGTCAGCAGATTTGAATCTCTGCTGGTTGAAATTCAGTTTTGAACTCACATGTGGCTGTTTTTTGAATAAAACCTTTCTGCAAACAAAGCAAAACCGATTCAATTTTGAGGACATTTTCTTGGCACTGATCATTTTAATGACAAAATCTCACATACTTGTACGTTTTCATGAAAAGGTCGTACTCGTGAGTCTCAAGATGTGGGCAAATTTAAAATAAAATAACCTAAAAATAAAAATGTAGGAACACACCTACGAGAGGATGGTTCTGCGAAAGTGACGAACCTCTGGAACCTTTACGGAACATTGGGGATGTTTCTAAAGCCTTGGCTTTTAATCACAAAACTGCTACAGTTGAAGGTTCCCTACATGATGTTAGGGGGACGTTTCATTTTGGTTAACTTATGGTGGCATTGCAGCATTCCAATGGGAATATTTGGAATGTTAACAGAACGTTCCACTGTGGTTTGGTTGGCACACAGTACATTACAAGAATGCTGTAAAGAATTTTGCCTTGTAACGTTCCTAAAACATTCCGAGATCTCAATTTGAAGTTCTTTAAAGAGTTGGAGGACATTATTTCACAGACATTCAGGGAACATTCAGGACATTTTGCAAATGTTCTTTTGTCTACCTGGGACAAATTAAGGAATCCAGGAACATTGTGTAGGGGGGAAAAAAAAAAAAGGTGTCCTAAGATTGATCCCTGTGGAACACCTCAGGGTTTATTTAGCTACAGGAATCCAGGAAATTTTATCAAGAAGTGAGTGCATTTCATACAAAATAGAGTCCGTTGATACTACTTTTTCTTTTCTTTTTTTTTTTTAAATCCTGAAACTTTTCATATTTGATAGAACTTTAAGGGCAGAACTTGTTTAGTTAATGACAGCCTGCTGCAAAACCAACTCTTAGCTTGTTAGCTTATTTATTCAATGGAACCACAGCACAAGTCCAACGCCGTATTGATGATGATTAATTGTAGCCAGCACAATAAATAACGTTCCAGAACATTCTTAGACAATCATAATGTGAAGTTCTTCAAAGGGTCTGGACGTTATTTAACAGACATTCAGGGAACATTCAGGACATTTTGTTTTTTTTTTTTCTTGCTGAGATAAATTAAAGAATCCAGGAGCATCATGTAGAAAGAAAAAAGAAAGGTATCCTAAGATTGATCCCTGTGGAACGCCTCAGAGTTTATTTAGCTACAGGTTTCTCCCAGGTTTTACTAATATGAAACTGACCTAAAGAGATTTCTTTAACCTTACAAATTAAAGAACATTTGAAAATTTGATTCAGACATATAGCTAAGCCTGAAGCTCACTGTACAACATTTTTAAAGCTTGTCTGCTAGTGTCTGCCATTTAAAGTGTCAGAATCTACAGATTATGTTCATTTATTTCAACATTTTAAGCATTTCATCATCTCTGCAGGAAAAAAACATTTTTAAAAAAACACTGCATTTCTAATTACTTTCATAGCTGAGAGAGGAAATGTGTTGAAATGATAATAAAACTACATCTCAGGTGGTAGAAACGATCATCCCAAGTGATCGTCTCCTCCTTCAGGTGTTTTTACCTCCAGCCGGGCGAAGCGGTCGCTCTTGTAGCAGGCCAGCTCTGCGTTGATGAGTTTGGTGAGAAGAAACTCTCTGAACTCTTGACCCTGAAAGTAAACCCAGCAAACTCAATGCTTCGTCATGTTTCACTGCCCCATTTACCGAATAACCTCCAGTCTTACCTTCTTGAAGACGGCTGGATTTGGGAGGGGCGGGCCAAACGGCGGTACGTCCTCACGTGCTGTGACGGACACCTGTCAATCACAACAGTTTCTACTGTCACTAAAAGAAACAACGGCATCACTGGATGTCTCGTTTTAGCAACGGTCACCATGACAAAGACTCCTGTGACGCTTAATGGCCTTCAACCAATGCATGCGTATTTAAAACAAACTGGGATTCACCTGGACACTGTTCACATAACTCAGTATGTGTAACTCTTCATATGTATCCATGGACTAAAACAAGAACATTATTTATTGCACTAAATTCATTTATCACTCAATTTATTAATGAGTGATGCTGCTGCTGATTCAAAATTGGCATCCCTTGCAAATGTTGCTCTTCCATTACAACATCTGTGTGACAGTGGACCTAAACAAAGCATTGGATTTAGGTTCTAGCCTATAAGGATCAGCTAAAAATACCTTGATTGCCATATAATATAATAATATCAAAAGAAGTATGGCTGTAAGTCTGCAAACCTTGTTTACCTCCTTCTCTAATAAAAGCTTGAACAATGTGAATTGTTTCTTTTTCCACGTGTTGTGTGCAGCTTAAGAACTTCATCTGTAGACATGAAGCTCTTCTTGTTTATGTGCCGATTTGAAATTAAAGCCGTTCTTTCTCGTGTCTGAGGTAAACCTGTCTGCCAGTAATAATAATAATTCCCTGTAGTTATAACTCTCAGTTTAATCAGACAGAGCAAAAAACAACAAACCACGTAAGAGCTGCAAGCTTCAAGCTGCTTGTATGTAAACAGTCACCTTGTAGGAGGTGTTGTCGGAGCAGGGCTCCTCCACCTGCACCAGGATGAAAGCGTGGAGGAAGTTGGAGGCGATCATGTCGGGGACGAAGGGCGTTGCCTCTTCTTGAAACACCACCGCCACGATGTCGTTTCCTATGTGACGTTTCCGCTGCAGCTGGAGGACAATGTTGCCGTTGTTATAATGAACCCTGTCACACCAGCTCACATCACCTGTATGTCATCTTCACACATTACCTAATTCTAGTTTTCGATGTATAATACCATATCATATTAATGTCATGTCACATCCTCTGATGCTGTGAGGTTCCTTGATACATACTTAATGTTATGATAATGTTTTGATACCACAACATGTCACGCCACATTACAGCACCCGACGCCACCTCAAGGCACATCGTACACCATGACACCATGTCTGTGTCATGTTACGACAATATGCGCCACTTTATGTTGATGCCATGTCAGAGTTCGCATTTTTAGCTTACATAGTGCTTTGTCATGTATATAACTTACTTAATCATGTGATGCTGTAACATGTTTAGTCTGTAGCGACATGTTAGAAAATGCTTAGTCATGTCATGAGATGCCGCATCATGCCGCGTTATCCTGGAATGTGATGCGTCATGCTTTTTCATTCTGTAACATGCTGAGTCATGTTGCAAGATGCTTGTTGATTTAGGTTGTGACATACTGTAACATGCTAAGTCAAGCTGTAACGTGTTGAGTCATGTTTTGTCATGCTGACTCGTGCTGTATGATACTTGCTGAGTCATGTCAGGTCATGCTGTAGCATGCTGAGTCCTGTCATTTTTGTCTATCACACTGTTTTCATGCTCTCATGCCGTCTACCTGCTGAGTGTCTCCCTCAGTGAACGGCAGTTTGGTGGACACGTGGAACATGATCTCCTGCTGTCGGTGGACAGTGTAGATGGACTGAGACCCCGTCTGGCCGTGAGACACATCCAGACCCCCCCGAAACCTGCAGAGGGAGGAGAAACAAGTCGGTCACCCCCTATCTTATATCGCAAATAACGGTTTTGGGGTTTGATGGCATAAACATTCAGCAGAAATGCTGTTGCTGCTTCAGAGCATCAATAAAGAAAATGCAGTGAATAGACGCCATCTGCCACAACGTTTTATGCTTTTTCCTATTGAGTTGGTGTTGACTGACATGTCGATATCTGTGATGATAAAATGGCTTCACTCTGTGATGATTTGACAGTTTTGTGTTGCTATGTGCGACTCTCACCCCTTGAAGTCCTGCAGCTCCACTGTATCTCCCAGCAGCTGCAGGAACTCTGAAAAGGCTGGCGTCTCCTCGTTGTTCCTAAACAGCTCCTCCTCAGACACCTGACGGACAGGTGACAGAACCATCACACATCACACACGTCAGCTACAACCATCACATGTGTCACATGTCAGCTACAGCTGTCAGATCCGTCATGCATTATCTATATGGGAATTATCTTGGGATACAAAGTGTTCATCTTTAGGTCACAGAACGATGGAAAAGGCAACACATGTCCCTCACAGCAGTGAAAGTTGTGATCAATAACAATCCCATGTCTTAGTAAACCAGCCAGTGAGCCTTGATAACAGGACCTGCATCTGGAATCACCCTCAGATGGACCAGAGCGCCGTTCCCTGATAATGATCGATCTTAGAGACTTGGAGCAGCATTTTCCAAACACTATCAAACTGCTGCACGTTTCACGACGCAGCACTTATGATTGAGCGCACAATCAGAGCTTCTTCACAATCAAAGTGTTGAGAGTCAAACAGCTGGTACCTGTCCAAATCTCTGGTAGATCACTCCAAACTTGAAGGTGTTGTTCACATCGTGCTCGTCGTAGTTCACTATGAGCCGAGACGCCTGGTGACACACAAACAGACAAAAGTAGTCCAACATTGTCTCTACTGTAATTTACCAGAAAGGTGTCAGGTAGGACGAACTTCTCTGAGCTCACCTTCGGGTAGAGGACGGGAGTGAATCGTAGTCCTGCTGCTTCATCGCACAGCAGCTGCAGCAGAAACATCACAAACACAACATCTCCAGGTTACAGCTGGAACAATGAACAGTGCTGAAAACCAACATATTTACTACTTGTACTGTACACAAGAATCTGTACTTCACTTTTTCTGCTGCCTTATATTTCTAATTATTTAACAGGGGAATATTTTTTACTGCATTACGCGTATCTCACAGCTGCAGTTACTTTTCAGATTTAGTTTGCAAAATACAACCCATTTTCAAATCATAAACAAACATTTGCGTTAGCCATTCCAGACATTTTCTCTAAAGTCTCATCACTGCAGCGCCCCCTGCTCCATAGAGGCTGGCGTTGGCAGTTTGTTTCAACGTAAAACAAATGCAGATCTCTGAATTATTAGCAGTGCACATGCCACAAATATGTGAAATTAGTAGTTTTTAAGAGCTCCTGTTATGTAAAATGTCTAATTTATTGCAACTAAGTGCACCCTCTGGACAATGAAGGCCATTAAAAAAAAAAAAACATTTAAAAATGTAAAAAAGTTTTCTCCACATCTTCTGAAAATGGCAGTTGGTTGCACTTTAGCATCTGATACTGCCTGGTCATGATACAGGGAACTCAAGGGTTCATTGTTGTGTCTGTAAAATAGTGACGAATGATGTCAACAGTCCAAGTTGTAGTCTTAAGACCTCATGTTTTGTCCAACCAACAGTTTATTGTCAAATATTATAAAAACAAAAAGAAACAAATCCTCATTTTCAAAATGCAAGACGCAGCAATGTTTTACTTTAAACCTGCTGATCGATTAATCAGCTGATCATCAAGCGAGTACTCACTGCTGTTTCTATAAAAACATTTAGCTGACTTCTGCCTAACTATTTCATTTTGAGTGAACACTGTTGCTGCATCCTGTTCCTAGTTTCGCCCAAGATGATTTGTGATTATTTTAAAGAAACACAAACTGAAAATGAGATGCAGTCAGACCATTCTACACAGCGCTAGAGAATGGTCCGGCTATGCAAATCTACATGGCACTCGTGGTCTTGCAGCATTTTTACAGTGTTGTATCTGGACTTTTACGTCAGTAAAAGATCTTCCACCTCAGTTTAGAGTCTCTCCTCAAGTTGGAAACATTACAGTAATAAATCAGAAGCTGAGTGGACTCAGCTCCTCTGTGGTGTTTAATGTGTTTGTACCTTGGCCAGCTCTGGTACGCTCGGGATGTCTGGCAGCTCTGTCAGCGATAATCTGTGGTAGACGCTTTTCACCCGACACCTGAAGACAGAAGAGACGAACCTGAACACAGGGTCCTGAACCACACTTTCTACGTGGTTGTGTTTGTTCATAAGAGTAAGTAAATAAATATTGTCCCACGTTTTAAAGCAGCACATGAAACAAACCTTTGCTTATATGCTTTCTGAAGGCCTCTTAACACTAAGTTTCTCTCATTATTACAGTTCTGGGTGCAGGTCAGACCACAGCAGATTAAAAAAGATCAAGTTCAATATGCAGTATCTCTGTATTAACCTTTTTTTTTTTACCTTCTTATGACTAGTGATAATTTCCAACCATATGCAATAATCTACCCTAAATTTAGCAGGTAAGTACTCAGTAATTAGGTAAAAAGGGTTATTGAACTAGAAAGTTGCAAATATTATCTGCATTATCAATATATATGAATGTTATATTTCAGGTATAAAAGTTATAAAATGTCAGAAAATAGTGAAGATGCCCATTAGTTAACAGAACATATTCCAATGTTGTTTAATTTGTCAAAAATGTTGTTATCAGACTATCATGTGGCTACCAGAGACCTGATGGACTGCAGGTAACAGGTGAGCTCTGGTCCGGTGGTACTCAGTAAATATGTATCTACGTACCTGATGATAACATGGAGGTGCTCTTGTTCTCCGTCCTCCTCGTGTCTCACTGACAGTAGCAGGTTTCCCAGACTGCTGGCCGAGCAGGAAAAGTTTAGATGCTCCTGAGGGAAACACAGTCGGTTCTGGGTTTTCCTGCCAAACTTACAGCAAATACTCAGCTTAAAGTGCTTTAAGCTTAACTGACGTAAGCACACCTTCAAACATGAATCAAAACACTGACAACCTTTAAATATCCTCACCCTGCCCAGAAAGTGTTTCCTGTACGCCCGTGCAGCCTCGTTGATCTCCTCCAGCCGGTACCCATAATGCCCTGGGGTTGTATCTTCCTCCTGTCTCTCTCCAGCCTCCTCCTCCTCGCCCCTGCTCTCTAAGGAGGTGGGAGGAGGAGCCTCCGGGTCCTCGATCCAGTAACCTCCGAACTGAGGCAGGATGACCTGAGGGTACGGCGGCCCCCTCTCCAACACCTGCAACACAGTCGTGTTTCCGTCACTTCAGCGGACTTTACAGCCTTTTTTCTGAAGATTTAAACGAACATGAACCTGCAGCACATTCCTTCCGCCCATAAATTTGTACGTGTCTGATTATTTTATTGTAAACTATTACTATTAATTAATGTTATCACTTGAGCTGTGAAAGTATGTTCATAAAATTATTAGAACACTTAGAACGAAGTGACTAAAATGCTAAATGGTGTTTTTCTTGCATTTTTTTGTCCTGTTCCTTAACATAAGTGCCATCTGTATTAACAGTTTGTTGATGGAATATGGTCACAGATTCAGAACAAAATTTGTAGTTGTGTTTATGTCCATCTTAATCTAATCAGCTCAATTTAAGTCCAATATTAGCTCTCTTTTAGCTCAATTTTTAGTCTCCACCACATCCCAAGGGAAATAGTAGGGCCTCAAAAGTTTCACATTTCAAATAAAAATGTGTTGAATACATTTTCTTGCCCACCAGGTGAGCTACCTGGACAGTGTAGTGGCTTAAGCTAGCAAAATATGCTACATTAAACAAAGCAACAGAAATGTAGTCAGCTTGTGGTTAGCCTTTGATAAGCTGCTAGTGTTTGGTGGCAGCATCACATACAGCTGCTTATTTTCACATCCACCAGTAATGTAGTAACATGAATAATCATCTGTGTGTTCACCTGAATCCACCCACCTCTGTCTAAGCCCTATAATTTGCCCTCTTTTAGCTCAGTCCTTGGTCTCCACCACCACCTCCCGAGAGAAAAATCTGTCTGTTTGGCCGCTACAGGGCCTGAAAACTTCTATATTTTCATTCAACTTTAATCAAAAATGTGCTGAATACTGAACAGCTGGCAAAACTCCTTGGAAAGTGAAGGAGAATAAGTTAGCAAATGCGCTACATTCAATGAAGATCCACCACACTGACGCTAAGACCAACAAAATGTAGCAAGCTAAGCTAAAGGTATTTTACTACCTCAGAAGCTGCTTTATTTATTTAATTTCATTCAGGTGCAGTCTGCACACAGTGACAAACACATAGCTAGCTTGAGGTAGTTGTTGACGAGCAGCTAACTGGTGCTTGATGCTTCAGAAATGCTCAGGAACATGTATGGACGCTATCTACTTCACTCCCTGAACAAGACAAGAGCTTTGCTACTGAAAAGCTGACTGATTCAGGAAACAGGTCCATTACTTTGCTGTCATTTCTCATAAATCTGCTGTAGATAAGGAAAATCCAAAGAAATACAACTTTAGTAATAGTTAATAATTTGCATCTCAAACACATACATGAGTCATCTTGTTATCAAATGACTTTTAAATAACCTGCATTCAGTACAACTCTAAAGCAAACTTGAATACAATAAATACTACAATAACATACCAGATGAAGTTAGATAAAATTTGATTGCTTCATCCTTTGGACAAAACTTTAAAAAAAACAAAACAAACAAACAAAAAAAACTGAACCTAATTGCTGACCCTGTCTGGATGTACCAGTGGTTTCTCTGCCTGTTATGTCTCCTCTCTCCAAATAACACTCAGCTCGAGTGTTTCCGAGCCTGTGAGTCGTGTTAAATCAAATCGAATCAAGTACATTCATCCAGCACAGTTATAAAAAAAAACTGTGAGTGCCGTACATGTTACACAACAGGCAAAGCAATGTATAAATTATATGTACAAAACACACCAAAAATAAAATGGACGAATCCTTTTGGAAAGCAAAATAAAAAAAAAAAAATGAAATCCTAAAATATGTGTTAGGATGTTTGGAGAAGCAACAGATGTTGTGGTGTTCCAGCTCACCTCCTCTATCCTCGGATAAGGAATGTAGTCGTCCTGAAACAGAAAGATGGAGAAGTCACGTATACAGCTGAGACGACTCGTCAACTAATAAACGAGGCAGCTACTCTGGTATTTATTGTCGATTTGTCAAGAAAAGCCAGCGACAAACTGATATAACCTCAATCAATCGATTAATCTGAAAGTTATTTGGCAGATCAGCCAACAACAAAAATAACTGTTAACTGCAGTTCGAGACACACAAACACACACGCATAGATTGTGAAGACGCACAAATGCAGGTGAATATGTGACACGAGTGATAACGCTGAACATGACAGACGGTGCAGACGTCGTGATTTATCGTTTCATATCGAAGCCGTCTCAGTTCCGGTCGCCCCCGAGCGTCAGTTTGGAAGCATCCGACAGACTTCAGAGGTCTTCGTAGGGTCTCAGGAGGCAAACAGGGCCTTTTTGAAACGGGGCTTTTCCTTCACATGAAATGCAAAAAACACAATAGCATCTCCCTTCAAGAGTCCAACCAACTGGTGCCAATGTAGCCTGAACCCTAAAGCCACGTTGGCCAATCAGAAGAGTGAAAAAAGCGATTACAAGTCCTAGTAGGTTCCCAACAATCATCATGCTGCTGTTCCTCTACATTTATGATGTGTGATCAAAAGGTTCAGAGACTGTAAGAAGAGCCTATAAGGATCCAAACCTGTGCAGTGATACTAAGCTCAAGGTACCCTGCAGAGCAGAGTGTCTCTTTGTGGTTGTTTTGTGTTTCTTTGTGGTTGTTTTGTGTTTCTTTGTGGGTGTTCTGTGTCTCTTTGTGGGTGAAAAGTGTCTTTTTGCAGTTCTTTTGTGTCTCTTCATTAGGGTTTCTGTCCCTGAGATCGTATGGCGCCTGTTTGTGGTTGTTTTATGTCTCTTCAAGGTTGTACTGTGTCTCTTTGTAGTTGTTTTTTGTCTTTTTGGTGATTTTGTGTCTCATTGTGATTGTTTTGTGTGTCTTTGCGGTTGTGTTGTGTCTCTTTGTGATTGTCAAGTGTCTTTTTGCGGTTGTTTTGTATCTGTTGGAATTCTTTTATTTCTTTGTGGTTATTTTGTGTCTTTTTGTGGTTGCTTTGTGCCACTTTGCAGTCCTTTTTGTGTCTCTTTGTGGTCATTTTGTGTCACTTTTGTGTCTTTTGTGGTTGTTTTGCATCTCTGTGGTTTTGTTTGTGTCACTCTGCTGTCATTGTGTGTCTCTTCAAGCCATTTTGCATCTCTTTGCAATTGTTTTGTGTTGATTTTGTGTATCTTTGTGGTTTCTTTGCAGTCTTTTTTTTAAAAATCTCTTTGTATTCATTGTGTGTCTCTGTGGAGGTTTAGTCGCTCTCTGTGGTTGCAATGCATCTCTTTGCAGTTGATTTGTGTCTCTGTAGTTGTTTTTAATCTCGTTGTGGAGGTTTTGTGCGTCTTTGCAGGACACAGTGGCTCTTCCACTGTTAAACCTGCTGTTTCTTCACAAATCACAAATATGCCGCCGACAATTGTTCACAAAAGCATCTGTAATGCAGGTCACGATGTAGATAAAAAGACGCCACACAGGACCCTCGTTACTGCTCACAGAAGTCGCATACGTGTGACGGTGACGCACACGTGAACCACAAATAGTCCCGCAACTCTTGTGTGTGTAAACATGCAGAAAGTCCAGTTAGCAAGGTTAGCACCAGCAATGTTTTAGCTACATCAAGTCTCCTCCTGTTGTACAGAAAGGAGATGAAGTTCAGTTTTCCCCGTCTACATTTCAAACAGAGTTTCCAGATATCATCACCCTGGAAGGTCTCCAATGAATCTGAGACACAATAAGTCTCTGTGTCTCCATCAGTAAGTCAGAGTGAGATCTGAAAAACCGCAACAGAAACTGACAGTTTTTAGTTCTGCCTAATTAAACCTGTAAATTAGAGCGTGAACAAGAGTCTTATAATAACAAATCTCTGACAGTGAACCTCAGCTGCATCTCCAAATCTGACGCAACAGAGCTCAGACAACCAACTTCGCTTCCACCTGGACTCCGTTTCAAAAATAGCAGTCCAGTCCTGCTCAGACGAAAAGGTCAAACACAGTCGGGACCAGAGTCAGAACCCTCCAACACAATGCCACTCACGAGGATGCACACAACTCCACAACTCCTTAATTAGACGCAGCACAGCCCGGTGAGGCTGCTTCTGTATGGACACGAATGAAATGAAGCGGTAGGAAGTGAGGGCGGATGGGTATGAGGACAGACAGATGGACGGACGTGCCTTCTGTCTCTGAGGGATCGTCTTCATCTCGGCAGCTTCTGGCACCTGCTGCATCGGCGTCATGGAGAGAGGACAGTATTAACATCGTCTGTGTCCGCCGTTTCACACTGAACATGTAAATATTTAAAAACAACTCGCTCGAATATGAAAGCGGCTCAGTAACGTCCCACAGCAGCTGCTCGCTGTAGTTTCTTGCGACTATTTTCAGCAGCAGATTAAGCCACATTTGGTGGATTACGTGAGATTGACTCAAAATAAACAACAGTATGTGTTCAGGGCAATGAAGGGACATGTCATCCTTTAAAACGGTGTGACTCACTGGTCTTCATAGACTGTAATGAGGTAATAAGAACGAATATCAGCAAGGGGTCGACTGATACAGATTGTTAGTAATCAAGGAGATTGATAACTGATATTTGGAAATGATAAACAGCACACAACCATGCAGAATAGAGTATTTGTAAAATTAAAAACCAACATTTTGTATTTACGTTGTTTAAAATACAGGAGAAACTCACAGAAAGTCAGTAAATCTTACTGAGATTCAAAACCTCAGCTTTATTTTCGACGAAGAGGCTGTTGCTCTGTTTTTCTCTTTAAAATACCCCAAAGCTGTTCTGTTGGATTAAAGTCAGGCTGCATTCTTGTCCATGTTGTAGTTTTCACTTTGTTCTTCTTTTAGAAATTCTTGTGTGATGTTGTGCTTTGGTTGGTTGTCATGCTGGAATGTTTCTCTTCTTGGTTTATCCACAGACATTCATCTATAAATATCGTCTCCCCAACACCTCTAGCACTCATTCATCCTCACAGCATCATACTGCCACCTCCGTGCTTCACTGTCAGGACTATACATTCACTATGGACTCCCCTCTGATTTATCGTCCTCTGACCAAACACTGTGCTCAGGCTTGTTTTATCATGTTTTTCAGCAAACATTTTTATCTTGCAGTTTTATGCCAACGAGCTAGCTGTGTCCAAAGAGGTTGATGTTATGTCCTTTACACTGTCTGAGCTGCACAGAAACTCTGATTTCCACTGACAACCTCTGTGTCAAGTCTGAAGCAGCTGCCTTTGTCTGTCTTTCACAGCTACATGGTGAAAGTAGTTGACTGTCTGTGGAGTCGCTTCAGGAGGACGACCGCTGCAGCCCTGATTAGTGCCACTATGGCTCCTTCTAACCTCCTGATTACTGCTGCTACTGAATCACTGATCGTCTTGTATTCTTTTACATATATGTGAGGGCTCATAACCAGATTGTCCTGTTTCTTATGCAACTCTTTTTTCTGTGGAACCATGCAGATAGTCCGGGTGCCGGCGCCCCCAGTGGTCATGGTCTGCAACTCCTCCTGGTGTGGATGGCCAATGGCAATTGGTACAAGCCTCAGTGCTATGCCATGTCTCCCTACGGTCAGTGGTGAGAGAGAGTGTGTGTGTGTGTGTGTGAGTATATGTAGCTGTATGTGTATACATGGAGGGTGGGAGGGACGGGTTTTCTTGTTTCTTTTTTCTTTGACCATGTTTTGCGTTGCTCTATTGTAACAGAAGTCCATCCATCCATTATCTCTACACTGCTTTATCCTCATTAGGGTCGCGGGGGGCTGCAGCCTATCCCAGCTCACTCAGGGGACACCCTGGACAGGTCACCAGACAGACAACCAAGCACACTCACATTTACACCTACGGACAATTTAGAATCACCAATTAACCTCAACATGTTTTTGGACTTGTGGGAGGAAGCCGGAGAACCCGAAGAGAACCTACACTGCACGGGGAGAACATGCAAACTCCACGCAGAAAGATCCCGGTGACCTTCTCGCTGCGAGGCAACAGTGTTAACCAACCGCGCCACCTTGCAGCCCTGTAATAGAAGTGCTACATAAATACAGTTTGATCTGATTTAATTTGATTTGATTTGATTTGAAACATTTGTGTGGCATTTAGCCATAGTTAGTGTATGAATTCTTTAGTTTTGGAAAAAAAAACATGTCTCATGTGGTCTCAGTGACCTTTGATCATCGACATCTACTCAGTTCATCACTGAGTCCAAGTGAAGGTTTGTGCCACATTTGAAGAAATCACCTCGAGGCATTCAAAACATACTTTGGTCACAAAAATGCGATGGAAAGCATCAACATCCTGCCGTTATGAAGAAACTTGAACTAGAACTTTTCCAAAATATTTGTAAAAGACAAAAAGTATGACCAGCCGCTGTACGATGCTACAGAAACCCGGCACGATGTTTGTACCTGATGAATACAAGTGTTACTGTTTCACCTCATTTTATTCTGCTCTAAGCTAAATGAATATTGGATGAGGAGGAGAAACTTTTCACGGACAATGAAGCACATTTCATTCTCAAGAAAAACAAATGTATTAAGTTTTGTTGCCTTGCAGGAAAAATAATCTGCAGTTTGTTCCTTTATGTATTTGAAGTGTGTATTTTTTCTCAGCAGGACACGAGTGCATGTAAAACAGACGGAGAATAATTTAACTCTTACCTCCATTTTGTCCATCATGTCGAAGAAATGAGCCGACTGCAGACAAAAAGACAGAGTTAACGTTTAGTTTTCCGTTTTTGTTCCAGTTTATTTCCACCTTCTGTATTTGCCATTGAGCCGTCTGTTCTGGCTCTGAAAGGAAACATCAAAATTAGCCACCTGGAAGAGACAGTTAGCCTCCTGCTTCAGGGGTGTACCGACGGATTCATCATGCATCATGCAACTTAAACCTAAAAGTTGTCCAAAATGAGTCAAAATGTGCCCAAAAAGACTAGAAATCTGTTCAAAAAGACAAAAGTCATCCAAAATGATTGACGATTTTGTAGAGAATGACCTGAAACTTAAACTACTCCAAACTCACCTCAACTAAACTTCAACCTAAAACGTCCAGAATGACTCAAAATTTGCCCAAAATAACACGAAACTTGACCAAAATGACATAAATATGTCTAAAACTACTAAAACTTGTCCAAAATTGCTTGAAATCAGCTGAAAAAGACAAAAATCGTCCAAAATGTTTGACGATTTTGTACAAAATGACATGAAACTTAAACTCTTCCAAACTAATCTTAACTAAACTTAAAAGTTAAAACAAAAATGTTCAAAATGACAAAAGACACAAAGACACAAAATAATTTGTGCACTCGTACAAATAATGTCTGAACAAAATGTGTAGAAATTGGTCTAAAATTACTCAAAACGTGTCCAAAATTACTTGAAACCCGTCCAAAAAGTTAAGAATTGTCTGAAATGATTTAAGGTTTTGACTAAGATGACTTGAAACTGTCATTTGGACAACTTTTAAGTCATTTTGGACAATTGTAAGTTATAACTTTCTTCGTAACTTTGAGACAACTTTAAGTCTTGTTGAACAAATTTGGGTCATTTTGGGAAAAAAAAAACGAAGTCATTTTGGAGACGTTTGGAGTCATGTTGGAAAAAATAAAACAAAACAAAACATAATTTTAGAAGTCATTCTGGATTATTTTTGAGCAATTTCAGACATTTTTGAGTTAGTTTGGACAACTCTACGTCATTGCAGACACAACTTTAGGTATTTTGGACAAATGAGAATAATTTTGGACAGTTTTGAGTTATTTTATACAAAGCTTGGGTCACTCTCTAATTTTAGTAAGGTTGGACAAGTTTTGAGCCATTTTGGACAAATTTGAGTGATTTTGGTTTTAACTCATTTTAGACAGCTGACTATCAAACTTCACTGACGTGGAAACAATCTGAATTTGTCGGGCGTCAGGTCGTGTAAAAATCCGGCTTTTAGAAAAGTTACAAGGAGCTTGCATGTTAAGCACTGTTTTAACCGTTCCCGATAATTTGTGAGTCATTTTTGACAATTTAAAGTTGTTTTGATTGATATATGGGCAATTTTAGACAAGTCTTGTGTAATTTTGAACAATTATCTGTAGTTTTGGACAATTGTAGAGTAATTTTGGACAAGACTGACACATTAAGGGCCTGTTTCAAGTCATTATAGACAAATTTGGACACAACTGTGGACTGGTTTTGAGTAATCTTGGACAAGTTTTGAGTTCTTTTGGGCGATTTTGTTTCCCTGAGAGAGTTCAAAGTGCAAAGTTAGCATCGAGACACAACAGGAATGATGAGATGTGAGCGTTACCTTCATGGTGGGGGGTGCGGTGCGAGGGGGAGAGGGGGGGCAGTCTGCATCAGGAGCATTGGAGATGGATAGGAGCTCCTGTTTGCTGAAACAAAGGAAACAATAATCAATAATCGACCTCTTAATGTGTCTATGGGGCAGATTCATCCATATATTAGTCAACTGAGACCGATATATTTCAGGTTTCTGGCTTCTTGAGTGGCCTCTTCAATGCCCCTCTGATCATAACACCTTTATCGCCGTGGATAATAAACCGCCGTCCACCTGCAGCCCTGTGTGAGTCCTGCTTCACCTGGGCGCCACTCGTCATCGTTAGATTTGTCGAGGCTGTCTCTAAAGATAGATCTTCAATCTGTCAGCAGCCTCCCCTCTTCACACTCTGTAATCAACCAGCCAGAAGACCATCCATTTCCTTGGCCCTCGGGCGACTCGGCCAAATCCGCGGTTGCCATGGTTTCGACAGGTGTCCAAAAAGAAGAATAAACTGACCTGGATTAAACTTTTGGAGGAGCCGCCGGCAGCCAATCACTGGATTTATGGTTTCTCATAGGCTTGGACTCAAATATTGATAAGTCATGATTTGAACTAAATATTGATGAGTCATAATTTTACATGAATGCAGACGAACTACTTGGATTTCAGTATTAACAGGCCGAGATTTTTAAGTTTATTTGAATTTTGTTGACTAAAATGTGTAAACTGATGGTATTTTGGTGAGCCAGACTTGAAAACTGCTGAGTCATACTGGATTACCAGTGACTTGGACTTGACTTATAGTTGTGCATGCTTGACTATTGATTAGTCACACTTGGATTTGTACTCATATTAACAAATCAAGATTTCAAACTTTGGAATTTAACACCGGCCACTTAATGACTTGCACAGTAAATCAAGTTTAAATATTGCTGAGCTGAACTTGGAAACTGCTGACTCACACGAAAAGCAACCCGGACTACATACTCATGACTTGACTGTTAACTTGAGTTATAAAACTTTGGACTTCAACCTTGTGACTTGTAAAATGAGCCAGATTTGGGTATTGCTGTGTCAAACTTGTAAACTGCTGACTTATATTGAATAACAGTGACTTAGACTTTAATATTGGTTAACAATGCTCGAATACTGATTCGTCACACTTTGAATTACACTTACTGCACTACTACTGATAATTAAAAGTTTTTGGTGTTTTTTTTAAAGTTATTTTTTGGCCTCTATTTGACAGGACAGTAGACAGAGAGACAGGAAACTGGGGAAAAGTAAGGGGGAAGGACCTGCAGCAAAGGGCCATGTGCTGGATTCAAACCCATGACTGCTGCATAGGGGACTACAGCCCCAATACATGGCTCACCAGCTCAACCAGTTGAGCGATAGCAGTGGCCCATAGCTGAAAGTTTTTAACTTGAACTCAACATGATGACTTACACAATGGTTGAACTTTGAAACTGCTGACTCATGCTTTCCTTACAAGGACATTGTTGACTGATGCTTGAATACTGATGACTCATGCTTGTACATTGATGACTCATAGTTGAATATTGTTCTGTCATTCTTTAGTACAGAATAGAATATCAACAACTCAAGATTTTGACCTTGAAAACTTACATAATAGATTAAATGTGAATTTTTCTGAGGTAAACCTTAAAACTGCTGACTCGTAGTGGGATAACAGAAGCTTGTATTAAATACTGACGACTTATAGTTTGATTTAGAATTAAATACTAACAATCCAAGATTACAAAGTTTGGACTTCACCACTTGTGACTTGTAAAGCGTCTCAAATCTGAATATTGCTGAGTCAGACATAAAATTTACAGACTCAAATTGGAATAACAGCAGATCTGACCTAAAACCTGACGAGTCATACTCTAGTTTTTAATTTATTAGTTCAACACTAATGACTCAAGATGTCAAATGTGAACTCAACCTGATGACTTGCACAACGAAACCGCTGAATCATTCTGGATGAACAATGACATGGACTTGGATATTGATGACTCATACTTGAATACTAGCAATAATAGCAATTTCACTGAAGTCTTGTACCGAAGGGATTAATAAAGTTTTATTCTAATTCTATTCTGATGACTCCTGCTTGAATATTGATGACTCATGCTTCAGCATTCTTCAGTCACACTTTGATTTAGATTTGAATTACAACAAATCAAGATTTCAACCTTGAACACTAACATAACGGATTAAATTTTAAGTTTGCTAAGTCCTCAAACCTAAAAACTGCTGACTCAGTAAGCAAGTTGCACTTAATATTGGCAACTCACACTTTAACAAACTTGAATGCGAAGTATCCGAGATTACAGTGATTGAACTTTAACGCTAGTGACTTGTAAAATGTCTCAAATTTGAAAATTGCTGAGTCAGACTTGGAATCTACTGACTCACATTTGAATAACAGCACATTTGACTTAAAAATTGACGAGTCAAACACTAAATGACTGAAGTTTCTAAATGTAAATGTGAACTAATGGCCTGTGCAATAAAACCAGTCCCTCATTTTGGATTACCAATAACATCGGACTTGGATATTTATGACTCGTACTTGAATACTGATGAATTATTTTTAACTTGGATCTGTTCTGAGCATATCTACCGAAACAGAAGTCAAAAAAGCTGGTTATTGTTGGAAACTTGAAAACACTGGAACCTTACTGTAAAGGAAAATGAACTTTGGAAAACTCTGCCTGTAAATGAAACTCCATTTGACTGACGGTAATGAAAACACCGGTTGTTATGGGAATGGTTCCATACAGGTTGGTTTGCCGGAGTCGTCCAGAACTGAACCGACTCTAGAACCAAACCACTATGATTGCACACCGGTGTGACAAAGTGGAGCATCTTCCCTCACAGAAGATCTTTGGTCCAACTCGGACACACAAAACACAACAACAGACGAAATGAATTTGTTCTGTCATTAAGCCAATCAGTCAATTATTATTTAGCAGCGGCGTTTCTAGTTTACAATTGATTACAGAGTAAAATCTATAAAGAAACATTGACCCTGAAACTGAAGCTCATGATCAGTTTCTGACATTTTGATGTTTCATTCGGTGGAACATTCAAACTCTGCTGCAGTGACTGACTTTTAGAGGTCCACTGTGAAGCTGCTGATCCCCGCGAGACGCTGAATAACACAACTTTCACATCCACCAGTTACCGAGCAACACGATGAGTCATCTGGAGTCGTGTTTGCTTCCACCTGATGAATCCGAGTCCAGCATTATCTCTCTGTTAGCTCTGTTTTTGGTCTCCACCGGCTCCTGAGGGAAACACCGGGGCTTGAACTACCAAATGCTGCTCTCTGTTCACCAGCTCGTCTCACTGCGTCTGACTGTTTGCTGCTGAGTGCAAAGAGTTTTTATTATCAGAGCTGCTGCTGCTGCAAACTCAGACTGGAAATAAAACCAAACGTTGGAGATAAGAGAAACCCTTTTTGGACTGTCGAGAGTTTTGACCCTCAGAACCCCAAAATCCCACCCGGAGCATCGAAAGGCATGTTATCTTTGAGAAAAACTGCCAAAATGACACCATTCAAAACTGAAGGAATCGCTGGATTTTAAACTTCCCGATGGTCCTTGAACGTGTCACACGTGGTTCCATCAGTAAAATCAAACTCACTTTAACTTAAATGCCTCATTAAAAAACAAAAACTGTCAATTGTAGAAAACAAAAAAATAATTAAACACATCACAGCACAACTATGAATGTAAAACTGACCAAATTGCGACTGACAGTCACGTGACAAACATTGTCGGTTGAACTGCAGGCAGTGTTTCCACAGAGATCGTATACGGAAGAGCAAGTTGTTGGAAAATACTTTCAGCATTATGAAACGTCTTTCTACAGATGATGTGCAGAGTTTGTAGAGGTTGTAAAAATGTAAGTACGTGAATATGGAGAACACGGGACGCCATTCTTTTTCAACTATTGGTAACACCTGTGGACGCTTAGAAAAATGTTCTACATGAAGATTATTTTTTTTTCCAATTTCGTCAAATCAAAGAAATAAAACTTTAGTTCCTTTTTTGAAATGATTTATGCCATTGTAACATTTCTGAGTTCTCTCTCCTTCTAGTCATGGTTGGAGGCGCAGGATTTTATTTTGCAGTGAAAAACGAGCCCTACGGGAGCAAAGAAACTGCCTGATGATCAGAGAGTTGAAATGAATTAACTGTAAATAAAGGAACTCAATCTGAAGCAGGAATTCAGAGAAACGCAGTCTCACAGGGCCGAGCTACACAAGTCGAGAAAAAGATCCGAGTGTTTGTTATCTTTTAAAAACAAAAACCTGATAATTCTTTAGTGGGATTTAGCAGGATTAGGCGTTAACTCACCCGGATATTATTTTAATCTAAAATAAGACGACATTAACATCCATTTATGTTTACGACTGTGATATGTTCAGAAATCAATTAGTGTTCAGTCTATTTTAAGATCCTGAGAAACACTTTCAGCGTCTATGCTTCTGGATTGTTCCAGCACCAGAAGCAACAACAAATATTCATCTGAGTTTTCCTCCTTTGTCTGTTGTTTATTAAATGAAAATCCTTTTTGAATTAGTTTCCTTTTTCTTAGTTGCAAAACAGCGACAAAGAGAGACACACAACTACTGAGACACATACAAAGATCAGAAAGAGATTAAAACTCATTAAAAGAGCACAAACAGATGCTAATTCAATACAAACAGAAATAAAACCACCTCTTAGACACACAAAAGGACTGCTGCATGCAAAAGGGCTGCAAAAAAAACCCCAAAAGTTAATGCCCCATGACCGTAAAGACACACAAACTGATTAGAAAGAGATTAAAACAAAACCACAAGAAAGAATCAAAGAGATAATCGTATAAAAACACAAACATGTAGAACCAAAGAGGGAGAATACTGAGTGCAGGTGGACTGAAACGAGCCACTGGTGCTGTTCGAGAGACAAATATTAATCTAATTTAGTTTCTTCCTCTATTGTCTGAAGTTATTTAATAAATAAAAGCTATTTTTGAAAGCACCTCTGTGCCTTAGCTGCAACACAAAGCCCAAACACGAGGGTGAAAAGATGAATTAATTTTTGTATAATTTAAGAAAAAAACAAGTGAGTGTGTTGAGAAGACGCTGTGAACGTCCTCATAAAATCTCTCCTCCTGTCGTGTCTTCTGTGAATCCGAACCGATTTCACCAAACGACACTTCCACTGAAAAGAGATGAAAGCGGAGCAGCCGGAGGGCCTGAACCGAGGCCGACGACCTCGTGTAGCCGTGTGCGACAACAAAGTGCAGCGTGCTGCATAAAAAACCTGCGAAAAGAAAGAAAGAAAAAAAAAGAACAAGAGACGGAGAGGAAGAGTGCTGCTCGGACGAGGCCCGGAGCGCTCCGACACGAGATTAACACCTCCTCCACCGAACACCAGTCGGCCTCAGCTGAGGCTTTTACGTTTACATAACGCTG